GGCAGGGACACTTTCCCTCCAGCATGTCGCACACGGCCACGCGGATGGTCTCGTGCCGGATGCACTCGTTGTAGTTCTTGCTGTCCCCGGGGTGCCGCTCCTGGGGACGGCGGCGTCAGGGCAGGGCTGGCCTGAGCTCGGCCTGAGCCTGGCCTAAACCCAACCTAAACCCGGCCTGAGCCTGGCCTGAGCCTGGCCTAAACCCGGCCTGAGCCTGGCCTGAGCCTGGCCTAAACGCGGCCTGAGCCTGGCCTGAGCCTGGCCTAAACGCGGCCTGAGCCTGGCCTGAGCCTGGCCTAAACCCGGCCTGAGCCTGGCCTGAGCCTGGCCTAAACCCGGCCTGAGCCTGGCCTAAACCCGGCCTGAGCTTGGCCTGAGCCTGGCCTAAACCCGGCCTGAGCCTGGCCTAAACCCGGCCTGAGCCTGGCCTGAGCCTGGCCTAAACCCAACCTAAACCCGGCCTAAACCTGGCCTGAGCCCGGCCTGCCCTGGGCCCAGCCTGACCAGTGCAGAGCTGAGGTCCCAGTTAATTCCAGGCTGGACCTGCGGTTAGGCCCAGCCTGGATCCCAGTTAGTCCCAGTTTGCCATCCCAGCTGGTCCCAGGCTGTAACCCCAGTTAGTCCCAGTTTGCCATCCCAGTCAGTCCCAGTCTGTAACCCCAGTTAGTCCCAGTTTGCCATCCCAGTCAGTCCCGGTCTGCCGTCCCGGTTAGTCCCGGTCTGCCATCCCGGTCAGTCCCGGTCTGCCGTCCCGGTTAGTCCCGGTCTGTAACCCTGGTTAGTCCCGGTCTGCTGTCCCGGTTAGTCCCGGTCTGCCGTCCCGGTTAGTCCCGGTTTGCCGTCCCGGTTAGTCCCGGTCTGCCGTCCCGGTTAGTCCCGGTTTGCTGTCCCGGTTAGTCCCGGTCTGCCGTCCCGGTTAGTCCCGGTCTGCCGTCCCGGTTAGTCCCAGTTTGCCATCCCAGTCAGTCCCGGTCTGCCGTCCCGGTTAGTCCCGGTCTGCCGTCCCGGTTAGTCCCGGTCTGCCGTCCCCGCCGGCGCTGACCTGCTCGAAGCCGGGCTCGTTGTGGTAGGGGTTCTCGGTCATCAGGGACTGGATGGAGATCAGCACCGAGGAGATGCTCTGCGCCGGGCTCCAGGCCGGGCCCGTCCACGTGCTGGCCAACCCACGGGCAATTAGCGAGCCTTAATTACTGCCCTCCACCAGCACTCAGTAATTAATCACTCATTTATTAATCACCTCCCCACAGCAGAGCCCAAACACCTGGGGGAGCACAGCTGGGCCTGACCCGGGCCTGACCCTCAGCTGGGCCTGACCCGGGCCTGACCTGGGCCTGACCCTCAGCTGGGCCTGACCTGGGCCTAACCTGGGCCTGACCTGGGCCTGACCCAGGCCTGACCCTCAGCTGGGCCTGACCCGGGCCTGACCCTGGACCTGACCCTCAGCTGGGCCTGACCCTCAGCTGGGCCTGACCCGGGCCTGACCCTCAGCTGGGCCTGACCCTGGACCTGACCCGGGCCTGACCCTCAGCTGGGCCTGACCCTGG